CCAACATCTATCTATTAAATTAACAAATGATAAGTAGCTAATATTTAATTATCATTTATCAAATTATTCATCATTTAACATATGATAAATAGATGATAGATTATATTTTAGATAAAGAGGGCGTCCCTTATTTAGATAAAAACAGATTAGGTGAGTTGCTAAATATGTACTGTTTACCAAACAGCTCAGCGGTTTGAACGATAGTAATAAAATGCTATATCAAAAAGAGATTATTCAAAAGTTAACCAGAATAAAATACGTAGAGTGCCAGAATAGAGTGATAGTAACATTAATTGAATGTTATGTATAAAAATGTGTGAAAAGGTTTAATGTGACCATCTGATATGTATGGATCAATGTGTCAAATTGAACCAAACTTCTCAAACAACTCTGTAGTTCTATAACTACAAAGCATCAAAAGTATATTTATTTGCCGTCTATGTCGCTGTAGTTCATGTGGGCCGATGTAAGTTTATGAAATAGCTACAACCGATCTATGATTATCGGCTAAAATAACAAGGCTTTCATAACAGAGTATCTGAGTCGTGGTTCATTTAATATAAATCATATAAATTGGTTGAACTCTAACGCTTTACCTAGAAGTACTAAAAGTACTTATACCATATATAGTAAAAATAATAAAAATAACTATGAACCATTACAGGAATTCTGTTAGGACAATATTGGTTATCACCTTATTATCCACCTTACAAAACTGAAGACTTGTCTAAAAGTGTTATGGGGAAACTAATGAGATCGCAGAATACGTGCTAGAAATTATCCAGCACTGGTACATAAACGAAGAAAAGAACACTTCTAGCTAAATTGATGACTTGTCTAATAGTGTTATGGAGAAGTTAGGAACTACCCGGTTACATAAACGATGAAAATACTTAGAACGGCGACTTAAATCAGATAAAGAATTTAGACCTAGTTTAATACTACAATATTTCAAGAAAACTGAACTAAGAGAAATATTCTTAATCTTTGAAGGGGGCACAGTAAATCTAGGTTTTACTAATGACTTCTATTGAGTAAAGATCGCATTGGTTTTCGGATTAGTTAAAGAACAACTATTTTAGTGTATTCGTTTCAAATGTAAAATAAATATGTAAATATGTAAAAAACTGCTGGATATAGAAGAAGTGAGCAATCTTATCCATTTATAATATATATTTATATATTTAGATATTTATTATATCTAGCAAACCAATTATTTTTTTTATTTTAAGTTTAACACCTCGAAAATAAATTCAATACAATTCTAAAGGGTTTATTAGAAGTAACATGGGCCTATAACTTTTGATTGAAACATGTTGATATGCATCGTTCTCTACTCCAACCTCTGGTCACGTCTAGGCAACAAACTGTTCACATCGGAAATTAAAATAAATGAATTATCATATTTTATAACATTTATTAACTATGTTTAGTCGTCTTTTTCGATATTTGTAAGAGACTTCACTAAGTAACTTATTATCTTTCTATTTGTCTGTAATTGCACTTATAATAATATTATAATATTATTACAAAAAATTATACATTTTATTGTAGCTTTATTGTTGTCCGGGTATGATTCCCCAATAAAATTTCATTAGTGTGATTTTTTCTATATAATACCTAATATTATATAAATAATGTAATAATTTTTATGTGTATAAGTTAATTCATATCTTAAGTGGTCTGGGGACACTACTTCTCTTCAGTTATGATACCCTTTAACCAGTGACGACGCGTGCCCTACCTGGAAGGGTGTGCGGCCCTTCTATAATGTTGTTTTTACATGTACCACTTATATTAAAATATATGAGATATTTTATTAATAATAACTATATTATATAACGCAACAATATATTCGCAATATTATATTAACAATTCATTAACAAAATAACATATTAAACAAATTAAATTAATAATTTATATATAAATTTAATATTATATCAATATGGAAGAAACAAAACTTTTCACATAATTCTTCTCGTAACATCAAACCAACTTTTTTCAAACAAAAGAGTATTAACTCAGAACCATACATGTTTATCCAGTGATCAAACAAAATTAAACCCACTTGCAACGTATAAATGTGCGGACAAGTACTCCGCACAGTCAGCGACAGAAATTCGTGGGTGCTATTGTTAAAAGGGGAGAGACGAAATGTGATAGAAATGTATATATGAGATGAGCTGCAAACTTCAGCCGCTCATGCAACCACTTTGGCAAATCATCATGTTGGATTCGTATGCATACAGTTGATATTCGAATAGAACAGAAAATTACTCTCATACAATTCCCACTATATAAATCTCCATCTCTGATATTACGAACGGGAGCACACGCACATTATTTTGTTCATATGCAACGTATGAATGTGCGGCCAACTTCTTTGCACACAAAGGGGAGAGACGAAATATAATAGAAATGTTCTGTGATTTGAGTTGCAAATATATGAGCACAACTAACAAGTATAGCAGCTAACAGAAGCAAATTGATTGAGTTTTCAGAGACAATTATATTTAATTGTTTTTGCTAAAACTTTAAAAATATATATATATATGGAAATGTAATAAATAATAATAATTCTTGATGTGAAGATACTTAATAAATTTATATACCTATGTTATTTGACATTTTGCAAATTATGTTAGGGTGTTCACCGCACATCTCCGCACCTTAGAGCAATCGTCACT